GCGCTTGACCATTTTCAGCACCAGAATGAAATCGGCAGACAAACAGGGGCCCGCACTGCCCGCCTTGACACTCAGCTCCATGCCAAAGGAATCGCAGTGATCGGCATCCAAGAAGCCAGAACCAAGCAAGGGCGCTACCGAAGTGAACACTATCAGATTCTCTGCTGGCTATCAAGGACCTAACCCGGTCTGCCTAGGATGTGAGCTTTGGATTCATCGTTCCATGCCGCTTGCTATGTTGCCAGATGGGTCCCATTTGACGTTTCGGGACTTCAGAGTATCCACCCAATGGGCTGACCCTAGACGTATGTTTGTCCTTTTGGAAAATCGTGAGCTTGTTTTGTCTTTCGTGGTTTTACATGCCCCATGCCTCAGCAAAAACAAAGGTGATGGATCACGCCCAATTGATAAGCTTGAGGCTTGGTGGAAAGAAACCGCACAGCTTTTCAGGACGCATGCCACGCATGATTTGATTTGGGTCTTTATTGATGCCAATGCTCCAGTCAACCAGGAGTTCCACCCATTTGTAGGTTCCTTGCATGCCGAAGCGGTGAACCCACAGGGGCGTCTATTTGGTAATTTCCTTGCAGACGCTCGGCTCTTTGCTCCATCAACGTTTGACCATTTCCATGATGGCCCTGGGCATACCTGGACGCACACCAATGGATCCAAATATAGAAGGGATTACGTTTTAGTCTCCCCCAAAGTCCTTGACATTGTGACTCGTACCCATGTATTGCACGACTTTGACACTTCGTTTTGCCATGATGATCATCTCCCCCTCTGCCTTTGTGTCAAAGGCCTCCTTCAAAAAAAGGTTGCATGCCTTGCCAAAGAAGAGTGGGACGAGCAGGCCCTCATTTGTCCAGTCAGAACACATGCATTCAGACAGGCACTTGCCTCGCTGCCTATTCCCACATGGAACATAAGTGTCGAAGCGCACACAGCATGGTACGAGAGCCAATTGCTGCAACTGGGGCGGCAATTTTTCACCAAAACGAAAGGGACCAAGACAAGACCTCAGCTCAGCCCTACCACCCTTGCTGCAATTGCCATGAAAAGGCACCTGCTGGATTGTGCCAGGTGCTGGAGCCTTACACACACGGCCGAATTCAAAGAAGTCATCACCCCAAATTAAAAACAGGTCCGAAGTATGGTCAGAAAGGATATTGGCATTTTCTTTGATCAGCTTTTGGTGCACCTGCAAGAATCGGACAGTTTGGGGGATTTGCGAACTGTCTTCAAAACCCTGCTGCGCTTGGGAGGAAGGAACAGCAAAAAAACCAGTGCGTTGAGACCACTGCCAATGCTCAGAAAGCCTGACGGCTCCTTAACAACCACCTTTAGTGAGCGCCAAGGGGTTTGGATGGAACAGTTTGCAGCCATCGAGGCTGGAATGACAATGCCGATGCAGGAGTTAGCCAACCTCAATCTGCAGCCTCATGATCACCCTCTTGATCTTCAAGAGCCATCCTCCTTCCCCACAGTCTGGGACATTCAGCAAGGGCTCCGACGCCTGAAACGAGGAAGAGCCCCTGGACCCAATGGGTTGCCGCCTGCATTACTCAAAGCCGGTGGTGAGGTTTTTGCTCGCCAGTTCCTTACGCTGACTACAAAGTGTGCTGCCCACTCACACGAGCCGCTGTCCTGGAAAGGGGGCAGACTCTTCCCACTCCATAAGGGAAAAATGCACCCGGCTGATCCTTTAGGATACCGATCGATTTTTGTGTCTGATTTCACTGCGAAACTCTACCATATGACCATGCGAAAACCCCTTGAGGTTGCCTGGAATCGTAGCTTACATTCCCTACAATTTGGGGGCCGCAAGGGACAGGGCACCGACATGGCACATCACACCCTGCAGACTTTCTGGCACTGGACGCAGGCACGTCACATGCCATCAGCCATTGTGTTTTTCGATGTGAGAGCGGCCTTTTACAGTGTTCTCAGAGAAGCGCTCTTCCCGGGAGATGGTGACATTGATGCACTGCTTCGCACCCTCAACACCCTTGGCATCCAAGATGAAATGGCCAGGGTTGTTGCTACCAGTGTTGACCAAGACTTTGCACTCACAGGCCTTTCCCAGCACATGATCACAGTCCTACAGCATGTCATGACGAACACGCATTTCTATGTTGAAGGTATTGCGGATCCCTGTCGCACCAGGCGTGGGACCAGGCCTGGCGACCCTATTGGCGACATCCTTTTCAACATGGTGATGTCATGTATACTCCGAGACGTCAAAGCCACCATGCTTGCTTGCACTGACCTGACCTGGTTTGGTGACCCGGCTCCATGCGCTGATTACATGGAGTCCCAACCTTTACCTGCAGCAGGCTACTTTGATGTCTCTTTCGTTGACGACTGTGCTTTTGGTATCCATGGCAAGACCAATCAGCAAGTCGAAGATGGTATTAAAGCCATTGTCCAAGCCGTGACCTGTGCAGCAAAACACCGGGGGCTTGTGATAAACTTTGAACCAGGAAAAACGGAAGTACTGTGGCACATCGTTGGAAAGGGCTCCAAGGAAAGGAAGGCGCTTCTTGCAGCTGACGACTCTGAGTTGCGATGGCAGACCAAAGAAGGACCAATTGCCCTGCGCACAGCCCATGCTTACAAACACCTTGGAACATGGGTTCAAGCCGGAAATGTTCATGGAAAGGAGATCCAACAGAGGAGCTCAATGGCTAGAGCTACTTGGGGGGTCTTAGCCAAGTCCTTCTACAACAAAGCGTATGTGTCCTTGCCAACGAAGGCCAAAGTGTTTCAGTCAACCGCCTTCAGCCAGTTCATGTACAATGCGCACATTTGGACAGGGGTCACTGCCAAAGAGTGGGACAAGTGGCACAATGCCCTCCGCAAGCCCTTCTGCCTCATGGTCCGAGGTAAACTCAGAGGCGCCAACCCTCTCCATTTCGACATGGATGCAGTCTCTGCACTTGCAGGAGTGCTTCCACCCAGACATGCACTTCAGGTAGCCCGATTGCGATACCTCAAGCGCCTCACCAGGGAATGCCCACAGGCCTTGTGGAACCTCCTTATGGCAGATGCTACAAGCAAGGATTCTTGGGTTGAAGGTTGTGCAGAAGCTTTCAATTGGTTCCGCACCCATTATGACATCCCTTTTGCCCCACAATCAGACAAGCTCGTGCATTGGTTGCCATTTATTGCTTTGGACGTTTCATGGAATGGGCGCCTCAAACGTGCTGCTTATTCATGCCTCCAGTATGGCACCGCAGTAGCAGAAAGACAAATTTTTCACCGAAGGTTCAGTGAAGCATTTGAAGCTGCGGGAGGGGTGTTGCCAGTTACATCCTCCCCAGTGCAGGAAAAATGGCAGTGTGATCTCTGCACCCGATGCTTCCCATCCAAACGGGGCTTAGCTTCTCATGCAGCCAGGGCGCATGGCTACAAGCGAATTGAAAGGTTTTATGCCACACATGCCACATGTGATGCTTGTGGAAAACACTACCATGCCAGGGCGAGATTGCTCATGCACCTCTATGATTGCCCTGACTGCCTTCTCACCCTTCAAGCCTGCTTCCCCCCGGCCACTGAAGAGGAAGTTGACAGATTGGATGAGGAAGGAAAGCAATATGCCAGTGACATGAGGCAGCAAGGCTGGTGGAAGACGAAAGCCTTCCTCCCCCCGGCCCGTATTTTTGGTCCCCTCCTTCCGGCGCACGACACACCGGATGCAGCCGCCTTCAAAGCCAAATGGGCTATGCGTACCACGGTGCCGGGCACGTCCTACCAAGAATTCCAAGGACGATGTGCAGTTGCTGAACCGCCTGCCGACCCCCAAGTCCTCCTGTTTGCTGAGGACTTTCCATCATTTCTCATGCAGGCGCCACCAGGGCCAAACGCAGGAGGGGGAGCTCTGGCACAAGGCAACCTGGCGCGGGAGACGGCCAGACTACACATCAAGTGGCTAGTGTTCGTACATTTCTTTAGTGGATTTCGCCGACCACATGATTTGCATGCTGTCATTGAATCGACACCAATGGAAGGCACCTCACAGCTTCTGGTCATTTCAGTCGACATGTGCATGCAAAAAAAGGATGGCAATTTAGCCACTGACACTGCCACCAGCTGGTGGCTCAACAGAGTGAGGGCCGGCAGCAAGATTTTTGCCTGATGGGCCCAGACCCTTGAGGACAGGCACGCATCCAGATGGACTGCCAGCTCTCACCGCCAAGGAGTGGACGCAGCTACGGGTGGGTTCGAGGCTTGTCTTCTTCATCTTCGAGGTTTTGCTGGAATTGGCCAAATATGGCGGATGTGGCTTCGCCGAGCATCCACAGTGGCCCCTTTGGGCACGCAAGTATGACCCAGCCAGCATATGGTCCTCTTACCAAGCAAGGTTGTGCCGCACTCTCAACTGCTTCAGTGTGGTGAGCTTTGACCAGTGCGTAGTAGGGTCACCTGCTAAAAAGCCAACCACAATTTTGCTCCTCCGTCTTGACTCCTTTCGGCATGAGATCCTCCAAACGGGATCAGGGGGGCGCTGCAACCACCCCCGTGGAGCGCACGAACAACTTCAGGGTCGAAATGAGCAAGGGGAGTTCCGAACTGCGGTGGGCAAAATCTACCCAGTAGGCCTAAATCAGTCGTTAGGTCGAGCCGTGTGCCGCTTTGTGAGTCTGACATTTGACCGCAAGTTTTTGCACTGTCAGCTCCCTGACGACTTTTCCTGTTTTCAGCAGCAATTGTTCGAAGACCATGGTAAGGTACAGCCTGATTACCACAAGGTCAGCACAACATAGTGCTTGTACAAAGCTGCTGTAGCATGCATGTGACCGAGTGCCAATGGGCACAGCAGCCACAAAGTGACAAAGTGTCATCCCAACCCCATTGACAAAAATATTTTTCAGAGGGGTTGCATTGAAACCACCAAGCAGATATCTATATAGATATTATAGGTATTATAACCACTATTATGATATAATCCCATTATTGATGATTATCCCATAAAGATTCTTTGCCCTTTGCCGATGCAGGAGAAGTAGTCAGTCTCCTCACTTGGACTTCACCCTCTTTCTTCGCTCTGGTTTTTACTTCTTCCATGTGGCGAAGGCAGGCTTCGAAGAAGAGCGTTGAGCGCAATAAAGGGGCTGCCAGGTGCCGTGAAAGGAAGCATTTCGTTGGTTGAATCACCATCGATAGGGACCTGTTTTGTATTTTTGGTAGTAGCTCTGTTGTACAGTAGTCAGTGTCAATGTTGGTGTTCATGTCTCAATCATTGCTGATTTTTTGGTAGCGATCTCCCTATCAAACCCGCCCAGCCCATCTCGGCATCTCGGTCTGGGCCTTTTGGTGAAATTGGTACATGAAATATCTATGACACGTCTATGAATTTGTTGAGGTTAAGTCAGCTGTTTACAAACCATAACTACCAGTTACTATAGACGTCTATAGACTATAGTTACAAGATGTTACAACCAGTTACAACATGTTGCAACTATAGTTTATATAGACTATAGATGTTACAAAACTATAGTTATTTATATAGACATTACAAAACTATAGTTTACAACCAGTTACAACAACTGGTTTTGCAGCCATCACCGCTAAGTCACTGGTTTCGGGGTCGGCCACTGGTGATCGCCAGTCCAAAAGTGCATCGCCTGGCCTCCGCGTTGTGAAACGAGACATTTCGCCCGCTGTGCAACGGATCTTTGTGGAAGAGGTGATGCCAGGTGGTGCTCCCGGGGTCGGCGTCGCCATGACAACATCCCTGAATCATCCTGAATCTGATACAATGTTCAATATATATATATATATGTATATATGAGCGATCGGCAAAACCTCAATTGAAAAATGCGATCTCGGGTCAAAGTTATCGTTTTTGGGACTTCACTATATCGTTTTACATTAGCTAATTTCAAGACTATTTCAAGAGCAATGAAAACCCTGTTTTCTATTGGGTTCATGACGTATGGTGCGGAGGGGTTCTTGCTGAGGAGTTTAGATGGGTACGGGACGGTTGGTACGGGTTTGGGTGCGGGTACGGGTGCGGGTACGGTACAGGTACGGTACAGGTACGGTACGGGTACGATACATGAGTACGGTCGGTACGGTACATGGGTACGGTACATGGGTACGGTTTTCGTACCATGTACCGTACCGACCGTACCCGTACCATGTACCCAAATAGCGGCAGAAATCCGTACCATGTACCCAAATAGCGGCAGAAATAGCAGCAGATCTGCCACTATTTCTGCCGCTATTTGGGTACATGGTACGGGTACGGTCGGTACGGTACATGGGTACGGTACATGGGTACGGTTTTCGTACCCATACCGTACCCATGTACCGTACCGACCGTACCCATGTATCGTACCCGTACCGTGCCCGTACCGTACCTGTACCGTACCCGCACCCGTACCCGCACCCAAACCCGTACCAACCGTCCCGTACCTATCATTTGGCATACCGTCCTGCTTCCAAAATGGCCAATAGAGCATTACTCTCCAAATTAGCTAAGTTTTACAGTATATCCTGATTGCATCATTTGCATCCCCTGGCAAACTGCGTGCGGAAAGCCTTTTTACACCTCCACTTCAGCGTCTGAAGCATGTTGGAAGAAGTCTGGATGAGCTCTCACAGCGACATGCTCCATGCCGCCTTTCATTCATTCCCCAGCGTCTGGGTAGCAAACCATCACCATGATCCAATGCTTTTGCCTTGGCTATCTTCATCTAGGAGAAAGATCGCCAAACCGGACCTGCAGGTGCAGGTGTGCTGGTGTGCCCGAGATGAACCAGGATTGACTAAAGCAATGGTGCGCCGCAAAAGAATATGCATAGCAGCGAAAAGATCGCAATAAGCAAGTGATAATATTCAACGGCAAAGATTCATCTCAAGAATCTTGTCGCATCTGGGCCATCCATCAGCGAAGGACATTTTGTCAAGAAATGGTTATCGTTTAGTTATCGTTTTCGTTATCGTTCAGAGAGGGAAACATTTTTGGAAAATGGCATGAACCAAGGAATGTTGGAAAGGAGGCCTGTTGTCATCGTCAATGCTTGCATGAAAGCGGGAGAATACAAAACGCTCATCCGGAAGGTTTGAACAATGGCGAGACAAAAAGAGCATCCAAATCCAGCTAGTTACCACATACTGTAGCAATACGTGCTTGGATACAAAACTGTTTACAATAATCAGCAATAAAGAAAATTGGCCAGGATCAAGAGTGTCAGCATACTTTTGCACATCTTCCGTTGTGTGAGCTGGTCATGACGTATACCCCACAACTGAGAGCCTAGATGATCTAGATGCTTCTAGAACAGGTGTCCACCATCATGTCATGTACACCACCCCTTCACTTCCCACAATGCTTTTACATATAATATGATTCCCAGGTTATCGTTTTTGGGACTTCTATATCGTTTTACATATCAAGATGCATATTTTATCATATTTTTACATACGAGAGCGCTCGAATACATACCTCCTACACGGAGAGTTTAGCCTTTTGCTCATATGAAGGTTTGAAATTGTTTGAATACGTTATAACGTGTTTACGGCTGGAGAAAAAAAAATCCAGCACCATGATTAGCGTACAGGGTAGGTCGTTGCCATGTCCCTGCATGTTGGAAGTTGTGCGTGCAACAACGAGAAGTCAAAATGTGTTTGCATTGACTTATTTCTTGTTTGTGCTATCTCTTGTTTGAGCTATGTTTTAATGCCTTGTTTGCACTAAGCAGACAAATCACTTCTCTGAACGGGTTTTTTGTTTTAGTTTAGATCGATTGGATAAACAGGTTCTTCTCTTACTTGCTTGCTTGCTTCTTCCCCCTTCATGTCCTATGGTGTTTTCTTCTCCTGTTTTCTTCATGTTGTTAAACCGACGGATGATGGGATCTTTTGAGATTCTAATGATATCGTTTCTCGTTCGTGGGATTCTAATGCAGTCGGGATCTTCATGTCCCTTCCATGAGAACACTTCCGGTTGGTACAGGACTCGTAGTTTCTCTTTCCAAAGATCTCACCTGGGATGGTCACAATTGAAGATCAGATTTGATAAGTATGATTATTCTTTTTGTGTTAATTGATATTATTGTTGTTGGATATTATTGTTATTGGATCACAATTAGATCATTGTTATTTGAGCAACCGTAAAAACCCCGGCAATACTAAATATGTATTCGACGGACATTGGCTTATGGAAATTGATGGAAATTGTTAAAAACACGAGGTAAGCGATGGGACTTTCCCAAATTAGCGATACCCCTTTTCAAGGTTATGTCATCATATTTCTCTAATATCCACATTAGCGATACCCAAATATCACAGATTATTCATAGTTCATCACATATATATATATATAAATGCAGCAGTTTCCTGCAAGCGATACCCCCCAAGTTTACCATATCATTATTGTACAAACGTGTGGTAAGCGATGGGACCTTCCCAAATTTGTGGATGTCCTTTCCGTGAACCTAGGGTTTTCACAATCGCTCATTTGGATATTATTGTTTTTTTTTAAACAAAATCACCAATGATCTAATAAGACCTCAGGTTCTCCACGCTTGTCAGACCTTCCTGGGTCCTTCAACTTCCAGGTTTTTCGTCGACGTCGTCGACGACGATCCAAGCGGGGGACGAGTTGATCGAAGTCAACCACCGTCGCGTGGATGCAGTCATTCGCCACCATTAGCCACCATTAGCCACATGAAGTTACCAGTACCATCCTTAATCATCATTAATGATCATTAGTCATCGTTGATGATGATAGTGATGATCATCATGAATGATGATTAATGAAATTGATGATGATTAATTTATGATGAATCATCAACGGAATCATCATGAATACTTAGTTCATGTTACTTTTGATGAGGTTTTTTCTGGCATATTAATGGTCAATGAATGTTAATTATTTTCCGCTTTGCTGAGTCGCATCCGGATTTGCATCATATGTGCAGCTGAGCTTTGTGAACCCATGTTGACATCAGAAAGTGACGCGCGGTTTTGGCCGACCCCATGGTTTTGATGTTGTGCATTTGCGTGTTTTCCCCAGCCTGCTCACCATATCTAACATATTCCAACCATCAGGCCCATGTTTTTTCCCGGAGAAGCACTAGAAGCCCATGTTACTGCCTCATGATTTTACCCGTAGTTGATTTTGGACTTAGACCTTCCAAGTCACCATTAATGAGTAGAAGTCCCAAAGTCATAATGGAAGTCAGCAGCCCATTTTTCGAGGTACTCAGGTAATTGTTTACATCTAAGAAAGATATATTTGCCAAATAGTTATATATCTATAAAAATGACCAATCTGTAAACATGTTTACTCACCAAAATAAATAAGTACCCTAGATCAGCTGGGTTTAGATCAGAAGACTTTGTGAACCCCCATGCGCATAAATAAACTCAAAATAACTTAAAAACGCATTAAAAAGCACTTTTTCACATATTTAAGCATGTTATCCCATTAAAACGCATGTTTTAATCATTTTTTTTATTTTTATATCATTTTATATCATTTTTTATTTGGTTGGGATACAGGTAAATTGGTGGATTATATATTATCTGAGGGACATGTGATACCAAACGTGTTATTTCTGGTTATTTTTTGAGTTCATTAATCACATCTTTATATTTTCGGTGTTGTGTGCATTTCTGGTAGGTAACCTTAATAAATAATCTAAAATGTCTCTGTTTATACTTCCATCTTTTCCACCCGTTCCTGATATATAAATAAAGCGTCTTGCCTGTCTTATATAATCCCGATGGGCTTCTGTATGCATTTGTCAATCCGTGTCTGTCTTCTGTTGCTTTTGTGTTGGCTATGTTCCTTTCTTCTTTATACAGTGTTGTATTTTATCTGAATTGCTCATTAAGATTTCTTGCAAAGTTGTTCATCTTCTCATCTAAGTCTCTTTGTTTCTTGTCCGTGTCGTTCATCAACTCTTCTCTTCCTTGACGCATTAATTCTTCAAATGCTACTCTACCTATTCTTTTTGCGAATATATAATCTCATCTCTTCTCTTGTTAATACATGTTAATACATGTTCTATTGCTTCACCTCCCATAATTCTCTGAACAACCTCTCTCCCAAACTGCCTTCCCACCTGTCTCAATGCATTAGTCATTGCTATTCTTCCAACTCCTGCTACAACTCCAATCTTTTATGTTTATATTAATGTTTGATAAAAATCATTTCTAATAATAGATCTAATCATGAGTCATGAGTAATAGATAAACATATAAAACTATTTTTGTAGATAGTAAGTATCGCAATGCTCAATCAAAATCTTCGCCTGACTTTTCAGTGGAGTTAAACGAAAACTCAGAAACACAAGAGGAAACAAAACTCTATGTAACTGATATTTCTATTCCAGCGGTGTGGAAATCTACAGCGGTGGGTTTCTATGAATATATTAATATATTTATGTTGTGGTCTTCAATGCCTGACTTTTCAGTGGAGTTAAACGAAAACTTCTATGTAACTGATATTTCTATTCCAGCGGTGTGGAAATCTACAGGGTATGAATATATAGTTGTGGTCTTCAATGGCGATACATTAGTCAAAATATTAGGGTATATTTAGGTAATATTATGGTAAACTGCGATTAAAACATGAAACAATCACAAGAAAGAAATCAAAATGAAAATAAAAAATCTCAAAAAATCTCACAAAATGAAATGATGCCAAAGGCGATTACCGGGGGAAATGAGACCGAAACCCTGAAAGACAAATGACTGCGGCAATGAGTTCAACAAACATATGCAATCTATAAGCAAAAAAACAAAAAAAGCAAAAAAAAAAACATTTTTTTGGTTTTTTTAAGCTCTATTTTTTCATGCTATCATCAAGTTTGAGATTTTTTGAGATTTTTTGAGATTTTTTGAGATTTTTTGAGATTTTTTGAGCTTATTTGAGCTTTTTTGAGATTTTTTGAGATTTTTTGAGATTGTTTTGAGTTTTTTAGAGATTTTTTGTTTTTTTTGAGATTTTTTGGGGTTTTTAATTTACCTTTTTGCTATTTTTAAAGTATTGCTTTGAGATTGTTTGAGATTTTTTTGAGATTTTTTGAGATTTTTTATTTTCATTTTGATTTCTTTCTTGTGATTGTTTCATGTTTTAATCACAGTTTACCATAATATTACCTAAATATACCCTAATATTTTGACTAATGTATCGCCATTGAAGACCACAACATAAATATATTAATATATTCATAGAAACCCACCTCTGTAGATTTCCACACCGCTGGAATAGAAATATCAGTTACATAGAGTTTTGTTTCCTCTTGTGTTTCTGAGTTTTCGTTTAACTCCACTGAAAAGTCAGGCGAAGATTTTGATTGAGCATTGCGATACTTACTATCTACAAAAATAGTTTTATATGTTTATCTATTACTCATGACTCATGATTGGATCTATTATTAGAAATGATTTTTATCAAACATTAATATAAAAATAAATGATTGGAGTTGTAGCAGGAGTTGGAAGAATAGCAATGACTAATGCATTGAGACAGGTGGGAAGGCAGTTTGGGAGAGAGGTTGTTCAGAGAATTATGGGAGGTGAAGCAATAGAACATGTATTAACAAGAGAAGAGATGAGATTATTCGCAAAAAGAATAGGTAGAGTAGCATTTGATGAATTAATGCGTCAAGGAAGAGAAGAGTTGATGAACGACACGGACAAGAAACAAAGATACTTAGATGAGAAGATGAACAACTTTGCAAGAAATCTTAATGAGCAATTCAGACAAAATACAACACTGTATAAAGAAGAAAGGAACATAGCCAACACAAAAGCAACAGAAGACAGACACGGATTGACAAATGCATACAGAAACCCATCGGGATTATATAAGACAGGCAAGACACTTTATTTATATATCAGGAACGGGTGGAAAAGATGGAAGTATAAACAGAGACATTTTAGATTATTTATTAAGGTTACGTACCTACCAGAAATGCACACAACACCGAAAAGTATAAAGATGTGATTAATGAACTCAAAAATCACCAGAAATAACACGTTTGGTGGATTATGACGATGGCCATGTGCATATGGTTTCAGACGATAAAAAACAATTTTCTTCGCTTTTTCCATTTTTTCCATGTTTTTTCATATTATATCATTTTTCTTCGGTTTTGTTCGTGTTTATCATCTTACTGATGGTTAGAGATTTGTTTCCGATCTAAACCCCTCCGATCCAGGGTACTTATTTAGTTTAGTGATTTACCATCTGGCAATTTAAGATAACTATGGAAAGATCCACTATCAAATTAATGGGTAAATCAACTATTTCTATGGCCATTTTTAATAGCTATGTTGGTCGACCAGAGAGTATATTGGACCGTTTTTTAGATATTGTTTTACATCTAAACATCATGTCCTAAACATCTTTAGATTATCCGAACATAATTCTTGCCAATCCCGCATTCGCACATTCCCAGGCAAAGTGGCCAGCCTCGGAAGTGTAGAGTGCCTTGGTTGGGAAATCATGGGACATGGGAAAATCATTGGACAAATGATGGGGGGAAAATGGTTTCAATCATTGGACAAATCCGAAAAAAAATGGGACTTTAAATCCCATCCCAGATCCGTTCATATAGAACACACACACACATTTTTCTGGTTGGTGGTTTGGACCATTTTTCTATTTTTCCATATATTGGAAATAATCATCCCAACTGACTAATATTTTCAGAGGGGTTGAAACCACCAACCAGTTTCTTTATAATATGGTACTTAAATATGTATAATTTCCCTACTTTTTGCCATGGACAATATTGTGGGGATAGGATTTTTCAGGGGGACTACAGAAAAAATGGCTGGCAGATGTCGCATTTTGAGTTCTTCACGCAGTTTCAGTAGAGGTTTCCTATACCCAGCTCTCCCCGATTTGAAAACGCTTCATCCACAAAATCAAAACCAAATCTATCCTTCAACTCTTGTTACTGTACGATTTTTTGCGTTCTTAAACCACTGAAGGGCCATGTTCAATTGCTTTGTAGAGTAGGGAACAAACTGGGAATCTGAGAAACTGTCGCAGCCGTCCATCGGTCGGTAAGGTTTGCACGTCTTCTCGATCAAGCCTTGCACGACCCAGAGGGCATGATCCAGTGACATGTCAGCAATACGGATATTAGATTCTTGGGTAATTATAGGGAACGCACATCCCGTACAGAAAGACAATGGTTATATTTGTGTTGTGTATATATATATATATATATAATCATATATATATATATATATTGTATAACTGCATATATATATAGACGTATAACATTGTATAATGGTTATGTGTGTTTTGTATAACACCAAAATCAGTGAGTTGGGAGGTCGTAAGTCTTGGTATTTTTTAGGCAGCCAGACTCAAGAATTCCCCTGGAGAAATCCAGGACCAGCAATGGACCAGCAATGATGAAGATGTTAACGTTACATTAATGGAGGTTTCCAAAAATGGTGGTACCCCCAAAACATCCAAATTATATCATTTTAGTATTGAAAGCCATTGTTTTGGGGATCCCTATAAAGAAAGCTCTAAGTGATCTTGCTGGTAAAATGGTGCAACATCCCTGACGTTTCCTGAATCAGGTTTCACAGAGGCGACTTGGAGGTGTACTTCGCAGCGGCCACAGGTCCTGGACTCAATACTGTTTTCCACACAGGTTTTCCACAGATATGCAGCTGGGAGTCGCTGGGAACTTGCGCCCATTGCATCAAACCTCTTGAAAGCCATATTGATCGCCAAAATGTCGATGTTTTGCCCTTTCCTTTTGCAGAAACAATATCACGAGATGCGTGTTTCAAACATTTGAAAGAAATATGATGGAAGAATCGTGCTGTGTTTTTTTAAACCTCGCATGAGAAAAAAATCACAGGAAAGTCTCCAAGAACTCCTTGCCAAACATTCACTCCTGAGGTATGCAGTCTGAGGGCAACACGGGAGTGCCTTGGGCTGGTCAGCATGCACGCTTGGATTGGACGATTTTTTGTTTAGTCTGAAAACCACCTTAGATTGGAAAAGTCTATATATATATATATATATATCTTTGAGGCACTCAAGGCTTTGAGGTTGCTGATATTTGAGCCCCGATGAATCGTTGGAGTGGTGCTGTTGGATGCTTTTGGTGTGGGCTCAATTGGGGTCATTTCGTGAAATCTGAATGTCAGATAATGTCAGCATATTGGGTAAATTTAGTGACCTCACTGTGAGCGACCCCTGGAATCATGCTTCGGATTCGGGGAATCATCCCAAAATAGCCGAACTTTTCAGGGTGAATCATTAAAAGTTACCCAGATGTTGTATTTCCCAAGATTGGTGTACGAGGGACTGTCGATGGCCAAAGTGGCTGTAGCAGTTTCAAACACCAATGGACCAATTTCGATGCTGTTCCAGTGCGAGCGTTCAGGGCAGTTGGCAGGGCGGAGGTGAAATCCAAAATAGCCAGAGCCAACAAAATAGGTCACTTTTGTAGAGCCAGTAGAGCCCATATTGCCACGGTCAAGACATAGCCACTTTCATCGAGATCGGATTTCCATGGCACACTTAGATCCGCGTTTCCAGTCCGTCACTTGGTTACTCGGTAGTGGCCCCTTTAACAGTTGCAAAATGGGATTATAACATAAAAAAGGTTATAATATATATATATATATTTACAGTATTCCATCTATAATTTCATCAATATCATTATTATATATATATACATACATACATATTATATATAATATGTATATAATATGTATATATATATATATATATTTATTTATCGCAGCATAATCCCATTTATAATCCGTTAAGGGCCATATGATTGGAGTCCGAGGTCTTCTGTATCATCGTCAGCATGTCAGATCTTGAACTCATTGCCCTGAGAATGGCACCTGGCAGCACCGCAGGCAGCGAGCAGTTAACCAACGCAACTCTAGATTTAACCCACAATGTTAGAATATTGGGATATTTCATGACAATGAAGGTATAGTGGAGACAATATTTACATACATGTTCACGAGCTATATGGAAAACCCGATATGAGATAGTATATGTAAATGTTCACGAGCTCACCACTATAACATACTATAACTATCCCGAAACGGCCTTAGTTCACATTCAGGCTACTTGTCGTGAATTATCGTGATTTATCCAGATCAATATTCCAATCTTGTCCAAGACCTTCTCTTGTCTTTGGATGTTCAAACCAGGGTGAAGAAAAGCAGAAAACAATCGGGGCTGTGACCCATCCCCCAATCACAAAGAAAGGATTCCAGTGCCCAAGAAAGTTCCTGAGACATTTTTCAGTAAGGTCTCTATCTCACCAGCAGTTTTGCTTCTCCAAGACCCTTTCCTACGCACCTTCCAACCTCCATGCTGCGCGCAGGGGAGCTGAAGGCCCACCTGCAGCGTTTGCTGCAGGTACCGATTCATGCTCAGCAGCTCCCTGACTCCAAGACTCACAGATTTTGGTCTTAAAAGATCCAAAAAAGATCAAACAAGTAAACAAGTAAAAATTGAGGACTGAACCCAGAGGCCTCCCAAAATTTGAGATGAGCAATGGCCAAGCACTTTACTTCAGGTCAAGCACCGTTTCCAGGAATATGATCCTACACAATGATGGTCCTCTACAGGTATACGCCCTAAAACACAGTTTTCATGTGACAATTCTCATAATCAATCATTGATTCTTTTGCGAATCATATCATTTTGAAACAATTCCGAATGAATTCACTAACTACCCCATAGGATCCATGTATGGTATATATGCTAACATTGGGGGTATATTGATGGGATCCATGTTACCATATATAGCAGCACCATGGATCCTATGGGTACTGATGTCCCTGGTCTTTGCTGAGGGTTTCTTGAGCTTCTCCTAGGTTGGTCCATGACGGTCGAGCACTGCAGGAAACAACACGTGGTCAGCTGACTTTTCCCAACTGCCCAACTGGAATCGGTGTCTGAACAATGGGAGACTTTACCTCCCAGTAACCTCCATGTCAGGGTTTTTTTTCCGAAGAGTATCATCAGCCAGTGGATTTAGGGCTATGTAATCTGATTGGTGGTTTCAATTCCATGATTTATTGTCCATATAAACCACCAACCAGTTATGTAATATGTTCGTTCCGTTGTGTTTTCAGACAAATCCATCCATCCTAGCCCCGCTGGGACGAGCTTCGCCTGACGCTTGGATCCCCCAGTGAATCTTCCCGGGATGATCTCACGGTCGATCGTCGAAAAAACGTGGTGCAGTATGGTAATTATATACATATCATATATCATATATATATAGGTGATATATATGTGATATATATATATGTGATATATATGTGATATATATGTGATATTAGGTGATATATAGGTGATATATAGGCGATATTTCCCCCAAAAAATATGAAAGTTCTCAACTTTTCGGCTTTTCAATACTGGGGGGTTGCTATTTCCTGAAGATGTGAAATCCATTCAGATCCCATCCGCAGGACGAGGACATCTTGGACTCCAATGACTTGGGCCTACGCCTCGCCTTTTTGCGCTGCTTGGTATGGCTTGGTGCTTGGGAGGTGGGTATCGTCAAGTGGTTGCTGGGTGAAATTTTTGGGAACGGTTTACAGCAACCCAATAATGTGGGACAATAATTATAAACAATAATTATAAACAATAATATAATTTTAATGTAATTAGGTAATGTGGCAAAAAAAAGCCATAAACCATCCATGACTGGGAATGGTTTACACCACCTCTAAAAATGGTGATGACTGGGGATGGTTTATGGTATTGTTTTACCCACATTATAACACTACACATGGTTTATGTTTTTTGTTGGTGGCCATGGAAATGCTTGATTTTAGGTTGTTGTTGTTTTTTAATGGGTTCGGCATCATTCCGCATTGAGAAAGCTTGGTGCTTCCAAGTTACTCTTAATTTGAAGACATGGAGATGGCCTTGTTGTGGCTGTTCAAAGGCGATAGATCAGCCGTTTTTAACTGTGGAGTTTTCCGGTGCAAAAAAAACACACCTTTGTTGCACGGTCCGAAGGATCAGTAGCTTAAGAGTGACAGGTAATTTTTCACGAAAAACTGCAGGAAAAAAAACTGAAATGGCTGCTTATAATTTATAATATGTAGGATATTATATATATATATACGGTAACGACATTTAAAATGTGGAGGGCGGGCCAGACCGCGAGGCCCCGGAGGTAGTATGAATATTATATATATATATATACGGTAACGACATTTAAAATGTGGAGGGCGGGCCAGACCGCGAGGCCCCGGAGGTAGTATGAAATACCAGTTCGTATATTTAAATGTACTTACCGTGTGTTTCAATGAATTGGATTCCGTATGTTTAAATGGCCGGGCGGGCCAAGGAAAACTTTCCCCGAGGTAGTCTAAGATACCTGATCGTATATTTAAAAGTCCGTATATTAAAATGTAGTTACCGTACATATTTTATATATATATATTATATTTATATACTGGTACATATATATATATATAATATGGATGCCTATTTTTCTTGGATGTTTGTTGCCATCACCCACCAACCATTTTGGTAATCCTTCTCCACCCGAGGAGTGGCGCTGTTTAGCCAAGAAGAATTTGGAGAAGCCCTGGTGCCTTTGGCCCATAGGCAACACAGGAAGGGAGCCTTTCAGTTATATGTGTGTATATATATATAAGCGTACATATATACACATGAAAATATACATCTCATGATATCCGCCAATAATCCAATCATTATTGGTCTAGTTATAGACCAAATGTCCTATCCTCTTCCTGCAAGTACCCGTGAAAGAGCGTAAAATTTCTGTGCTTTGCCTACTGTCGCTGTGTGTCTATCAGGATCTTGTGACATGGGTCCACGCAAAGGAATTCCTTTGTGTAACTTGAACTTGTCGAAATATATGAACAAACGCTTTCGGAAAGAGGAGGACATCCAGATTAAACATGATTAAACTGATGAAGCACGATGGTTCCAGATTCAACTAAAACTGATTGTGTTCCACAAACGTGACGAACGTTGTTTCAGAATCAGAACTAGATCTGCATAGTGTTTTTGTTGGGGTCGACCCCCAAAAACATCGGCGGTCCCCTGAAGCCTCTGGTATTCACGCAGAGCTGGGCTTGGCTTTCTGTGATCCCGCCTTCCTTCCACCGGGCGCGCGGTGGGTGTAATGGATCTAGTTGGTAAGTGGATGGCAAAACAGCAGTTCTTCCAGGAAAATTTTACAGTTCAGGGAACAAAACCATTGGTGATCCAGAAAAAGTTGGGAGGGGGTGTTGTGTCTCTTCCACGGAATGTAAAGGGAACAAAGATCACAAACACTTGGCATTTGCACAATTCTTTGTACGTGTATAAATATTTCACACCGTACAGCTCAGAAATTATATTGTATTTGAATATGTTTGAATAGTATGTCACATTTCCGCTGAGTACTGCAAGCTTTCAATTTTGAGAAGCCCAGTCGTTTGCTATAACTGGTGAGATCAATACTCACCAACAAACAAACATAATACTAGTATACAATAATATATATAACATTTTTTATAACATATATGTTTAATGTAAGATAATTTGCCCAATATAATTTCATGTGATATTATTTTATTACAATACACTATAATAACATACAACATAATATAATATAATATGATATAATATAATATAACATAATACAGTGGAATATAGAATACAGACTTTAGAATAAATAATATAGTATATATATATATATATATTATATTATATATATATAATATACATGGACACACTCACAAAGATATATATATACATCTCAGATCTGAGCATATCTAAGATTAAAGCCATGTTTGGGTGTGTTTGTTTTCCATATGTCCAGCCACCGCAGGTCGAGTAGCCATTGCTTCAGTCGACACCCCGCAGTGGCCTGAGATGCTGAGATTTCTAGGCGCACGCAGCGTTGTTCGTTGTCGGAAGCTCCATGAAGTTCGGCAAACACGTATTACATACATACAGTACATTACATTACATTACATACATTACATTACCTTACCTTACATTACATTACACTACATTACATTACATTACAGTACAGTACATTACATTCCATTACATACATACATTACATTACATTACATTACACTACAGTACATTACATTACATACATACATTACATTACATTACATACATACATTACATTACATTACTTTACATACATACATTACATTACATTACCTTACATTACCTTACATTACCTTACATTACATTACATTACACTACATTACACTACATTACAGTACATTACATTACATTACATACATTACATTACCTTACCTTACATTACATTACATTACATTACACTACATTACATTACATTACATTACATACATACATTACATTACATTACATTACATTACATACATACATTACATTACATTACATAGATTACATTACATTACCTTACATTACATTACACTACATTACATTACATTACATACATACATACATTACAGTACATTACATTACATTGCATTACAATACATTACAGTATATACATTACATTACATACATTACATATGTATGTATGTATTGTAATGCCATGTAATGTAATGTAATGTAATTTAGTGTAATGTAATGTAATGTAATGTAGTGTATGTATATAATGTCATGTAATGTAATGTAATGTACTGTAATGTAACGTAATGTAATGTACTGTAATGTAATGTAATGTAGTGTATTGTAATGTAATGTAATGTAATGTAATATATGTATATATCTACATAGAATAATGACCCATAATATAGCTTTCATTAAATAAATAAATATATAAGATCCATAACTTCCATTGAGTATGATCTAAATCTATGAAACACTTAACACCATTATAGATATTATATATCTTTGAACGCTATAATACCATTATAGTTATACTACCATAGTACTATAGTTATCAGATATAAATTATAATTATAGTACAACTTTAATACTTATATGATATGGGTAATTATGGTTATTTGCAATTTTATACCTATAATGATACAATTATAATTATCTATATTGCCATTAAAACTACAATAGCGTACTGTAGTTCTATTCATTATGGTTTTTAGTCAATCTTAATTATAGATGTAGTTTATCATAGTTAGCTAATGTATAAACTAACTATAAACTATAACTTATAGCCTATGTCACAAATAGTACTACTATAGACTAAGACTATATGCCATCAAATGGCATATGAACTACTCAATAGGACTATACATAGTTGATCCAGGAATTATTTGATACAATAGTCCATGATTACATATAGTCCATGAACAGATAAGCAATGTATAAAATTCAGACTATAAGCTATCCTACGAATAGTACAAATATAGACTTATATAGTCCATGTGTAAGCTATTGATGGAATATGGTTATACATGCCAAAGTTTTATATCATCAATGATGGATTTATAGACTTATATAAGAAAATGATACTATAATTATATAGCATATATTCAATGGTTTGATGGGATTATACAGTCATACTACACCAGGATACCCATACTGCAATGGCATATGCTTCTTGCATCCCACAATAATTTGATGTATACTACGATGGAATATATATATATTTATATATATACACATACATATACAGTATGATGACATGTAGTTTATAGATGTATCTACATGTGTAGTTATCTATGGTTTATATATTATGCAGGTCTATCTGGTTTACAGTTATCTACCTAAATGGTTCATAGTTTACCTCCTAGATGGGATATACTATTACAAAATATTATAGATAACCATTCTAATGGGGGATTGAGTCTGGATGAAAAAAATCGTGCCCTCACGCCGTGACCCTCATCAGGGACGGGTGACGGCAGGTCCCATCAGTCATAATCCCATACAACAATCCAAAAAAACGCTGAGCGGTAGGAGCAGAGGATCAACGACTTGTGATCATTCCAGCAGTATTTATATATAATTATCATTCTTGGACCTCATTTCACAAGTATAATTTCACCATCCATTCAGATTATTCATATCAATGTTTGTTTTACCCCACCTCATTTTTGAATGACAACACACTCCCGGAGATCACCCTGTGTTCCCCTTGTGGGAGAGTCAACTTAATACTGCCGTGATACTAGTGATGCATTCACAACAATTTTGATTCGCGATGGATACAACATGTGTTTCTAACTGACACTGTTCTTCGATATGATACAAGCCAGTGGTTAGGGAACTAAAGGAGCTATATATATATATATATATGTCTATTTTCCCTGCTAAATCTGCTAAAGAAGGAGTAAAGGAACTACTAAGAGTTTCCCAACCACATGAAACTTATGTCATAATATGTGATTGTCACATACCGACAGACCTTTTTCACCCAAATGACCAATTTGTGTGGGTGATTGAACGGTTGACGTTTCATTCGAAGTGTCAGCAATCGCCAAAATTCGTGTCGGTTGGGCTCCAGCTAGTTAAACCCATAGGATCCATGTATGCTATATATGATAACATTTACCATCAATATACCCCAAATGTTAGCATATATACCATACATGGATCCTATGGGAAAGGTGTTTCTGAAAATGATGAGCTTCCATTCGACCATTGGTTTCCCCCGATCATGACCCCATTCGTGTTGGATGATGGATCCTCCAAGACACAACATGACTTAGAAAGCACCACATAAGAAGTATCGAAATTTATCGGGTCCATCCCAGAAGTATCTATACATGACATCCCATCATATATCTATATATAGCTGGAACCCAAATGACCCTTGTTTTCAAGGTTTTGACCCATAAAATTGAAGGTTAACCATCCAAAAGAGGGGTCAAAGCTGGGTTCCAGGTATATATAGATATATAGATGGATAGATAAATATATAGATAGATAATTTCCCCAGGATATCCCATGAATTGCATGTGTTTGTCTCAAAATGGGGCCTATAAATCGAGAGAATGATGATGAACCACTGGATCTTTGGGTAATGTAAGCCACCCAATGCCATAAACCTACCATTTGGGGATTTGTGGATGGTAAACATACCAGCCATTTATCAATGGTGATGACTTGGGGACGCTTTATAGCATTGGGTTTTCCACATCCCAATTGGGTTCCAGCTATAAACCAGCTGGAAGATGACCCTGCACCAGGTGAGGATGACTTCGAAGATGTTGGCGATGGGCAGGCCGGCAGAAGATGCAGGGGGGGTTGTACACGGGCAAACAAACATTTTTACCCTGGCCCCCGGGTAAGCTAACAATAACTAACATAGATATGAACAACCCATAGTTTCCGGACGAAATTATCTATAAACATATCTATGTTAATCAATATTTTGTACGGACATATACTAAGCATCCAGCTTGTTAGCGTTAGTCATCCCAAAATATCGATCATAGTTTCAAAAAGAACATGGATGAAAATTGCTAAAGGGTTCCAACCACTTCAAAGTCAGAACCTTGGGGGTTGTTAGATCGTTCTACCAGATGTTTGGCAGATAGTTTTCTGAACAAAGCTGGTCTCAGTCCAACAATTTCCTGTTTGCTTTTAGGTATTCCGGTATGGATTCACATCCGATGCCATGCTGGATTCTATAAATTGTGTCATGACTACAGTACCCATGAGCAGTGTCAAAACCCTTTGTTTTACTGCTAATATTAGCTTTTTTTTTTCGTAAGTTATTGACAAGAGATAGTTACAATTCACTGTTGGAATAGCTATAGACAAACCAGTAGAACTAGTTTGCCACCAGGTTTTTCACGCTGCTCAACTGGGATTACATACCGTATCGAGACCTTGTTGGAACATCATGGAAATTCAACCCCACAATTACTGTGAATCCTGGTTCTGAATTATCAGCCAAGCCAACTTCCAAAACATTGTGTTTTTAATCATGTGTTTTCCCTGGCCACTTATGTGAAAAAAGTACCCAAAGCCCATCGACCATCATTATTTTTCTTCTCTGCAAGTGGCCATTCTAGGGTGTTCACCAGCGTTAAACATAGCTTAGTAGATTTTATCTCATCTATATTTGGTTTATAATGTATAACCATGATCAATTGTTTGTTCAACATGATCATTCTTCACAGGCCAATTTTGTATATGTATATATATATACACACATAGTATATATATATATACATGTAGAGAGAGAGAGAGAGACTTAGAGCACATTAATTATTCTTCACATAAATTGGTCCGATACTGTCCAATACTGTACTTGTCGTGACTTCTATTTGCGTAATTAGTTGGAAATTCAAACTATTTAATTTGTGACTTGTTTTTGGCCATACTTAGACCCGACAGACATCTCCCTGAAAATGGGTGAAAGCACATAAAAGTCCCAAGTCATCATGGGTGTATTGTATGATATGATCCAATTGTTTCATATTTTTCTAGGTACTTTCAAGGTCAAGCAGTATATAGTTTGAAAGACTAACCAGCAACCAAGACACAGCAACCTGAAGTGATCTGTCTCAGGTGGTGGCTGTGCTGCCCCGCGAGGCTCCTTGGATGGATTTGGAGAAGGGGTCAAAAATAATGAGGCGCAAGGAACAGAAAGTGGGTAACGGTACATTTCAATGTCTGGAACAGGATTAGTATGGAAAAGTCAGTGATATAACTACATACTAAGTTGTATTTTTGCTAAGCAGATGGAGTTAGATCTTCGATTTTAAAGATCCGAAAGATGTTCCAGATGAAATGTCCCAAGTCACCAGGTTGGTCAAAACCCGAACAGTCACTGTCCAATTAGCAACGCCCAGGACTACCAGGCGTTGCTGCGTTTGGGCCCCTTGGATTTCCTGTTCCACTCGGCTGACGTCCCACGTGCCGTACCTTGTGCCGTTTCACAGGTGCGGAAGATGAAGGTGGAAGAAGTCCGGACTTACAAAAGCACATGGCGTTTCCAAGAAAAAAAACTACTTCGTATAGACTTTTAGTTTTTGTTGGATTTTTAGAGACGATGGCACTTTATACATAATTATAGAATATTATAGATATATAATAATTAATTACTTTTGAAATGATTTTGGAACATAGCAGGGGAGCAGAGATCCAGACTAGAGATGCACAGGGTATCCCCTGGCGGATGGGAGTCCCGGATGCGGATGTCCCAACAATTTTTTGGGTCCCAAGAAATTCGACTAAATCTGTTGATTGTTTTAGACAATGTTGGAAAAAACATGGGGAAAACTCCATACAAAACATTCTGGAACATGATGTTGCGTGTTTAACCACCGCTGTGAATTCTTCTGTGTCAACGATCTGCGTATGGTTTTCCAGGTTCTTCAAGGAGTCCTAAGTGATCGGAACTCTCCAAGGCTCCATGAACATGTGTAACATATGGTATACCCTCTGGTAATTTGTTACATAGCTATTGAAAATGGCCATAGAAATAGTGGATTTTCCCATTAAAAATGGTGCTTTTCCATAGTTATGTTAGTTTACCAGAGGGTAAACCTCCATGGGTTTCCCTATGTTTTCCCATGTTCCCATTGGTTTTCCCATGGACATTTCCATGAATTTCCATCCCATCATGAGTTATCCCATATCGTTACCCCTTTGTTCCAAAAAGCTTCTTATGGGACCTGAAAATAGACGGGATAGCCACAAAAAAAAAGCCATCTTGAGTAGGAAAATGATGATTATCCATATATATATATATATATATACATACCCTCTGGTTATGACTAACATAGCCATGGTATAGATGGCCCATTTATAGATGTTGTTTGATGACATTATTACCTCTTAATAGCATGCTGATTCTCCAGTTCGCAACCGTTAAATCACCAGGAGGGTAACCATATAATCCAGTTGAATTGGGGATAGCCATGGATAGCCTATTTTCAGAGAAACCCCAGAGAAACCCCATCTATTTTGCCAAGGCTTTCAATCCTGCCTTTCTGACAGGTCAGCGCGGCCGATCCAAAGCCGCCAAACGCATCCCGGCGATCCGGCCCCGCGGGCCCCGCGGGCCCCGCGAAACGCAAAGCCACGGGCTAAAATTGATCCGCCAGCCGCGTTGGAAAAACAAGTCCCCGGGAAAAAATGGGGGTTTTCTTTGAAATTTGAGTATCCAATATGATTCACTGGTTAATCATCACTGTCCATATTCCAATGATGTTTGAACGGATTTTTTTTGGGTATACCATGGTATACCATGGTATACCCAATTTTCAGACAAGCCGACATAGGGTAATCAAGCCTGATTCGATCAGGATACGTAATGAGACATGTCCAAAAATATGTGATGCCACCCATTTGACGGCCATTTATCGTTGGGGTGAGCTTCTTTTTCTAGCTTTCATCAGTTGTTGGGCGGATGTGTCTCATTCCATCTTGGATCTTCTTATTTTGACTGGTGATAGAAGATATGTTCAGCAAAAACACAAATGGTCTTTGGAACGATCGCAACTAAACCTATGGGGATGGTAATTGGTTTTTGCTCCCCTTCCCATGAAATATCACCCATGCTGGTTGGTGAAATATTAATGTTTATATCCCACCCATTTCCCGTTGAGTTTTTATGGTTGATGGTTAAAGGCATAGTCTTGTCTATCCCATCACGAACAGTCACATTCAAATACAATCAATTATACCCTCTGGTAATTTAACATAGCCATGGGAAATTTCCCATTTATAGTGGATTTTCCCATTAAAAATGGTGATTTTCCATGGCTATGTTAGTTTACCAGCGGGTATCATATTAAAATATATGATATCACCAGTACATCCCCGGAACTGTAAGTTCAAATTCCCAGGAAGTCTTTGTCTTAATGTCCTCCGCCGTAGGCGGTTGCGAGGATGGCCAAGAATTGCAACGAAAGTCTGCAGAAGGAGGTGCCAAAAGGATTCGATCTGAACAAATCCATGGAACGTATATGGGTATGGATCAATACCTATTAATACCATTTTTAGGGGGATGAACATCCATTTACCAGCTATTTTGATGTTCACCAGGGGTACAAGGTTTTGACACACTGCCATATGGAAAAATTATGGAAAATCAGTGGAATGGATGGAAAATCTATGGAACATGGCCTAACATGGCAACATATTTTCCCGGATCCATAGGACTGGTGGCATATCTAGTGGAGTTCGGGAGACCGGGAAAAGACATGTGTTTTTTTTTGGGAAAAAAGGAAGGTAACCTCTATAAATACTTCATTGATTTTACCTCATTGAAAGATCCATGGTTGATTTTCGATTTGAACAGATTTTCTGGTTCATTGTTCCTTTTCAAATCGATATAATCAATCCATGTCAGAACGAGGGGTCCCAAAACAACTGCTGATTTTACATCAATTTACCTATCATTTACACAGAGATACGGGATGTTTGGGATGAATCCCCATATCAACCAAAACATAATGGTGAGGTGCTGATAAGACCGCTATTAAAAACAAAAAACACAGCTAGTAGCAATATCCACCAAGTGGGTTGATTATCAGAGCCCCGTTCTAAGACTCACGCACGTGATTTAATCATTTAGTCAACAATGTACAATGGGAAGCAACCAAGGACCAACAAAAATGTGGAGATTGATGCTAGCGATAGCGTTTGCAGATATTTTCGGGCCCAGATGCAGATGAGCTTGTTATATCATGGGATCCTGATGCATTATTCCTAATTTCAGTGGATATGTGACAGGCCTTACATGGTATTTTTGCCATATGTTTTACCCAATAAGTGTGGGATAATGCTTGGATTATGTGGGATTCCAAGGGTGCACCTTTGGTTATTTAACATAGCTATGGTATGGATGAACCATTTAGTTCAATGACAAAAATGATCTAACTACTGTATATAGTAAGAATGGGGATCTTCTATAGCTACGTTAAATAAAGCAGGGATGTACTCGGTGTACTCCCGGTTTTTGTTTTTCCTGCTTCTTGTTCTTGGTTACCTATGTTTTGTCCTTGTTATTCCTTCTTTTTTTCTTTTCTTCCTTGTCCTTGTTTTTGTTTCTCTTGTGTCCTTTTCGTTGCTTCTTGCTCTTTCTCCTGGGTTTCCGCTTTCTTCCTCCTTCCATTCTTTCCTGCTTTTCTCCTTTCCCTTGCTTGTTCTCGTTCTTTTCCTTGTCACTCTTCTCTGCAGCGCTCCCCCTGCTGAAGCCTGAGACCTAGCAGCCTATAGCTGCTCGGCTTAGCTCTGGTGGGAACTTACAATCGACAAACGGGATTGGATTGGCCTCAAAATTCTTGCCACTCAAGCTAACCGTCTAACCGCAAGTGAACATTCCTATCGAGCACTCTTTTGCCTAGCTTAATCTTTAGGCACTGATAATGATTAACCCCCTCTTCCGAAGGACCCTGTTGTACCTCACATCCTTCCGCAGACCGAAGCGAGAAGCAAATCAAATGACGAGCTTTCACTGGGTCTGGCAGACGCTTGAAAAGCAAGAGAATCCCCAGAAAGTTCCAGTGACATTTCTCGGAATACTCTGAAAATCTAACATAGCTATGGAAAAACATACCCGCTTGTAGCTCATTCAACAGAACAAACAAAAAGGGTGGTTTTCCAACGCAAACTGGTAGAGTACCGGACCGTAGACTAATATTTGGGAAGTTGAATTTTCCAAGCATGGAGCCAAATCCTTGCAAGCTGCGGGCAACTTGGCCCAAGATTGTGGGCCATATGTCGGGATTGTTTGTTGACCACATCACATATCGTGATTATTCTGTCAAAGCAGATAATTCATGATAGTTGCATACTAAAGCCAACAAAACAGAGTGATTCCCATGGTTTAGAATCGTATGATGCCACTGACAAAACATACTACACTGGCTTTCATGGGCATGTTCCCAGTAATAGCTTCACTCAACATGGTGTTGATAGCCCCAGCAACTACTGGATTTCCATCCCCAACGCTCATAAAGGTACCTGCCCAGTTGGTTGATATCCACACATGATGTCATTCTCCTTGGGTTCTTCTCACCCCATACATGTGTAGCTGAAAATCCCCATGTGATGCGTCACCAGCCCATGATCTCTAGTGATTTGTTGCTTGTGAATTTCGATGTGCGGGATAGCGGGAACATCTTGTGATTTCTTCATATATTGCTTAAATCCTCAGAGCCTCAAACGAAATCAAAAGATACATGTATCATAAAAACATATTATCATATTATGTATGTAAATAACTGTATATATATATATTATTTATATATACATATTTTAAACAACTATGTTTGTTTGATTTCTGCACAGGTAGATGAACGCATGCATACGTATTACAATCAAATCCTCATTTTATCTTATCTTGCCAATTCTGCATCTACAGAAGTATATACATGCGCATACATCCATCCCTACATCTATACAAGGCGAGGTTCCTAAGATAGCTAAGTTGATTTATCACTGGGTTCATTGAGTTTTATGAGGAAACTAGTATTCATGGGGTGAAACGACACCAACAAACATCACCGGGGGGCCAAATCATCCAAGTCATTAGACAATTTTAGTCGTATTGAAATAACCAAGGTGACATGGGGATCACCATTTTAAGAATCACCATATATACATCGAAACTACATTCATCTATTCCTCTATACTTCCATATATCATCATCATACTTCCATACATAGATACAAGGAATATATTAATAACATCTATAGTCTATAGATCTTCTATATACATACATCCATATATCGATATATCATCCATAGACATGACACAGCAGACCTTTCCTGTCAGGACCTCCACCAATCACTGATGCGACGCTTGGAGGATCTGACTGTCACGCAGAAGGCGGGGAACAGACATCCATTCACCAGCGACTTAGGGAGTTTTAAATTGGGGTTTTGGTTCATAGTATTCATAGCCATGTAAATGGTGATATACGAGTACAGACGATAGAATGGGGAGTTATACTATACTCCATGTTTTTTTGTTTTTACTGCGAGGTAATCTAATCATGCAAGGTGGTGCCCCTAGTTGTAAGTCTTCTACAATTGTACTACAACTCCCACGAAGTACAGTATTCATAAACCAAACCACACACTTATTGGAATTATAGACCAACTTAGCTAACTATGGCAGGGCTGCTCCAATCCACTATAGGCACATAATAGGCACAAGGGGGATAAATTGGGCATTGCACATCTTACCCAATTTACTCCAGGGAGCAACCCTGAAAATTGGGGATCAAGCGCCAAAAAAAATATGGATTAACCTATACGAAATAGGTGATTTGGGCTTTCAAGATAGGGATCTCACCTTGGAGTTGCGAATTTTGAGAGCCGGGTTTCCCAACTCAAGGTATATTTTACATGTGTTTATTCCACCATAAATCACAGTTAAACCAGAAAACAAACTTATTGGTGCCTATCTTTAGGGCACCTTGTGTAGGAATTGGGCTCCAGAAACAGGGAACCTGCTGGGATTTCATATGGCTATCATCTTTTACTTTTAAACCGTGAGGTCACAGCTGGTCCATATTTTGAGGATCGTAAACCGGGATGAAAATTTGCCAGTCATGGTGGGTTTTCCTGCCCAATGACTGGACCGATGATCTCTGGAACTAGGGAGATGATGTCCATACTAGAGCCATGAAAAAGCGCCATTGTTGGTTAATAAAGAGGTTTAGTGATTGGCTTATTGGCATAACCCAGGAATGGAAGATTTATATACCAACTTTAAAACGATAGGATGAAGGTATTTTCCATTTGCAATTCCTAATCCAAGAATGAAACCTCCGATTGAGGATTCCAACCATTTCAAATCATCGGTGACACAGATGTACTGTGCGGAACTTAGCTTGACCCCGTAACTGTGCCATGATCAAGCTGGATGATACACTCATATTTTTTTGGGGTGGTAGCCAATATGGAATCTCACCCCATTTCATGGTCGATTTTGGCTACGTTGCTGTCCAGATTTTGCGATTTCTCCCAGCATGGCACTACTAAAATCAATAATCATAGAATTGGATGATGGGAAAATTTACAGGAAAGCCCTATATTTGATGGTAAAAACCATGGTTTCCTGTAGATTTTCCCTTAAACCAATCCATTGAAATAAGGATTTATGTAACTACAAGGATG